ACCGATACATAACCGTTATAGCCGTAATAGACTTAGAGTTATAGTGATAGTAACAGTAATAAATATACTAATGACTAATAGTACATAGTGCATAATGGTTCAACGTAGTAGTTAGTGCTAATTATACCGCCGTTATACCGTTTCCGATTCGATCGTTGGTCGTCGTCGTTATGAGTCCTCAGTCCTCATTGACTCGTTGTCGTTGTGACTTCGTCGTTGTCAAGTTGTCATGATCATCGTCACGGTCTGAAGGGTTCCACACTGGTTTTATACAGTTGCGGCCAACCGTCACAGCCAACCGTTAGCTCTTCAATTTGCACCCTCACAATCGTAGTCTCGTTCGTCGTGAGTCTCCTGAGCCTCCCAAGTTGGAATTCGTTGTCATCTTGTCGTCGCTCTGAGCGTCATCGTATTCACAGTCATGGGCCATGGGGTCGTGGAGTCGTGGAGAGTCACAGGCCCTGACATCATGTACATCCTCAGTCCTCAGACGAACCGATGCTGTGCTAGCATAAGCCGTCAGTCAAACAATGAGTAGTAGCATCAGTAAAAGCAGTTGGCCGTTGGCAGTTCGGCTTCTTCCGCGCTGTTGCCCCGAGGCTCTACGTGATCATGTGCACCCGGACCCGGAGCGACATCGAAGAGGCCTGAAATGGTCGTGCGGCGTTAGGATGATCGGCGTGATGTGATGTGCTTGGGACGACACGGCTCATGAGATACAGCATCTCAATGGGTCACACAGTCACAAAGACTTTATTAGTTTTGTTTGGAGAGTGTTTTCATCAGCAAGCCGCCGTTGGTTGAATCAGTCCGGAGTCCATAATGGTCCATTGAATCCATTGGGTCCATTGAGTCCATTGGACCCATTGGAGTCCATTGCCATTGCAAGTCCGAGTCCATGCAAAGACATGCTGCTGATGGGAAGGCTCTCCGTCCGCATAGCTTGAAGTAGCCTGCGGAGGCGACTCGGCTAGGGTAGCAAGCTGCTTGCCATTGCTTGCCGGTTTCCTGATATCCTTTTCTACACCAGTCCACGCCCGCCTGCCGTTTTGACGACAGCAGATAAGCTGAAGAGAACTGAGTCAGATTGAGTCAATTGTCAATGTCACTGTCGGTTTGTTACGCCGGCCTAGTACCGGCTTGTGGCGTCCGTTTCTCAGTGTTTCTGGTGTTTCTGATTCTGACCGTCGTGGCCTTGAACATCGGATCATCGGCCTTAGGGCGGCCTTAGGCTATTAGGGCCTCAGGTGCCCGGGTGAGGCCAAAGCAAGGAGTAAGCGGCGTAAACTTGCGGCGTAAACTTCAAGTTATTCGGCTTACCTCGGGTTGCTTGGTTGGTTGGTTGGTTGCTGAACTCAATTGGTCCATCGAGTTGGGTGCATCATATCGCTCGAATTGGAATTGGGTTAGGACGGTTAGGCCTGGGTTAGGCTTAGGTATTAGTAACCGTACCGTAACCTGATATGATATGATATATTTGCTTGTTTTCTCCAGCTGTTCTATGCTGTCTCCGTCGCTGGCATGTACAGCTAAAGGACCGCAGGTTAGAGCGGGAGGAGGATTCGGAGCCGATGTCCAACACAAGCTGAAACAATCTGAATTGTGGCCTTCAGACTTCAGATAAGCCTGGAGTTCAGGCAGCATGCGCAGACTGGTATATAGCTTTCAGCCTTTCAGCTTTCAGTATTCATTTGCATTAAGTTTGCATTAACTTAACTTCACTTCACGTCTGCTGCTTCTATGGGAAATTGTTACTGTTATTGATGTTATTTTAGTTATTGTAAGTTCTACTCGTGGCCTCGTGGCATTCCTTACATCCACAACCCCGTGGTGCTACTACACAACGAACATCTGTGAGTGTCCGATGACTCGACTCATATACTGTCATATGTCATGTAGTCATGCAGTCGTATACCACATCGTTATAGTAATTTGGAATCACCAGTTACAACTACTAAATTATTTCGCGTATCATGCGCGTATAAGCAGCCTGTCAGTCTAGTCTAGCAGTATCTAATTCAAAACAGTGTCAGTGTCGTACAGTCGTACAGTGTACAGTGAGCCAGTGTGCCACAGTGTGCCAGTGTGTCAGTGTCTGCTTGCTTATCCGCTTATCCTAAGCCTACAGGGCCTACACTAGCCTCAAGCCTCCGATCCTCCCCGGAGCCTGAACCCGTAGCTGGCCGTAGCTGGACCCGTTATAACACATAGAGCCGGGACCGTCCCGGGACCGTCAACGAGTCGACGAGTCAACTGTCAACCACTGAGTCAACCACCGAGTCCCCGAGTCCGCTGCTTATCAACTGCTTATCCCAGGTATCAGGTATCCCATGTTCGTGGATTAATAGCGGATCACACAACTTCAATCTCGCGGGCCAGCTGTAACCATTGAGACTGTTGACTTTTACTCTACTCAGAACACCACTAGAGCCACGAGTCATGGATTCATGGATTCATGGATCACTGAATCACGGTCGAGTCGGTCGAGTCTATTCGGCATCTACCTATTTTAAGTATGATATTTAGGGTAGGACTCGGGTAGGACCGGATGGGACCGTGAGGTGCCGTGGTCTTGAGAATTGGCTCGGTCCGTTCCCTCCGACTCCCCTCCTAACTCTTTACTCGGCCGATGCGGTCCGATGCGTAGATGGGTAGATGTAATGTAGACATACAACGACATACAACGGATTTTCAAAAATCCGTCGTGGCGACCGTGACTGGAGCAGCCTGCATCTGCACGGCTATTTGACTGAAAGTGCACGAGTGCACGATGCACATTGCAATGCCATGCAATTGCCATGCTTAGGCCTGGGCATAAATAGATTGGAATTGAAAGAAAGACCGCGTAGGCCGCTTAGGTTTTAGTCTTAGGTCTTAGGACAGATTAGGACAGACTAATACGGACTAACACGTAAAACGTATTGACTGTACTGACTGTATTCATCGTATTCATCACCGTTCATCACTCACCCTATTCAGTGCCGAGTGTTTGCTGTTGTCATGGCCGCGGCATGGCTAGTGCTGACACGGCCCGTTGGCCCGTTGACTTTTAGCTGCACCTACATCTTCGTTCCTCGTCGTCGGTCTGACCAGTCGACACCACGTCGACGCTGCCTCGCGATCTAACCGGGTGAGTAGGAGTGTCAGTTGCTAGTTGTAGGTGTAGTAGGTCCTAGTAGTAACAGTATTGACTCGACTCGTATTGAGATTCTTCACACCGTGTTTTCCGTGTTTTCATCCATCTCTAAGTCGCTGCTGGCTATCCCTGACGCGTGACACCGTGACACCGTGACACCGACACCGGGTTTGGATCCTCAGTCCCCTCGGTTGCATCTCTCCCTGTCCGGCTGTCGGTTCCTATTTGGTTCCTGGGTTCTTCCCGGCCCTTCCCCCATATAGCCCATATGTACATATACTGTATGCATATATATGTTTCGTCAGTTTCGTCGGTTTGTTGAATTTTCCTTGCCCGCCCCTGTAGTGACCAATTGACTTGGACAAGTTCCGGTTGTGAGAACTTTTCCAGATAAACTAGTATGAATGAACTATAACTATGAACTAGATCCTGGACTAGATCCTTTTACTTTTTGAGACTTTGAGTCTTTGAGTAGAGAAGAGACAGAAGAGATCGCGGAGGCAAAGACCATTTTATGAGGAAGCAGGAAGCAGCGCCGGGTTGGACGGCAGCACAGGCGAAGCCTTGTCACTATCACCGACTGTCACCGTGCTTTTACGTAACGTAGTTGTTGTCCCTGTTGCTGACTGCTTCGGCTCCATTGGTCCTTTTCTTTTGTCTTCTGAGCTGACTAGACTGACTAGTATAGGTACTACCAGCCTGTGGCAGATAGCAGTATTCAGGATGAAGTATAAGGTAATGAATTTAGTCAGGAGTCCGTACCAAGGGCCAGGCAGCAGTGCTCAGTGCTCATGCAATAATGCAATGTGGCAGTGGCAGTCTCGTACGCCATCCCGCGATGACGAGCCAGAACGTTTCGAGTCGAGGAATAAGATGATAAGATGGTCCCAGGGTGCAGCGTCCTGCCTGATGTGATTGCTTGGGTGATTGATCACAGTGGTCAGTGATTCAGTGATCATTTATTCAGAATTGATTCAATGAGCTGCTTTTGACAGTAGCTGTGTTGTGGGGTCCTCAGGGCCCACCATTCAGTCACGTCAGTCAAAGGCTTATCGGCGGGAACGGTCCGACAGTCCAGTCCATCAAGCTTCCGTGGCCCGTCTATCAAAGAATCAGCAACCGTCCGTAACTAGCCGGGACCATAACCCAAACCAATAACCATCGCCATAATCGCCATAGCAGTACAGTCAGTACATGTGCAGTGCCACAGCCAGTGCCAGACAGCCAGACAGCTAGCTACAACACCACCTGGCTTCACGGCTTCGCCTTCATGATGCATCACCTGCTGCGACTGGTGTTGCGGTGTTGCGGTGTGTTGCGGTGTTGCGTCGCGCCCTTCTGAACTTGTGTCATTCAGTCTGTCTGTCTGTCAGTTTGGTTGGTTCAAAGATCCGAAGATTAGCAATGGATGGCAATGGATTAGCAAGTCTGCAAGTCTAGCACGCTCAGCACAACGGCAAATGACAGTACATACGATACTAGGCCTACTGGGCTACAGGCTACACTGAACACTGCTGGCTTTAGCAAGTCAGGGGCTAGCCTTGCTGCATTTTGTAACTGTTTAGTCTGTTAGTCGCAGATAATGCAATGCTAGAGCTACTAGACTAGAACAATCCTAACTGTATTTATTCGTCATCAAATTGAGTCAGCAAATTTGATATGACAGGACAGATATCACCATTATGACCAACAGTTTCAGGAATCCTTATGGGCTTCACATTGGGGCACTTAGAGTCAGTAGTCAAGTAGTCAAATCGAGTCGGATTTGGGAGACCGGCCCAGATCGGCCTCTCGCGCGGTGTCTTTATCGGCATCTTTATCTTTGACATCACTGGGCTGTCGGTTGTTGACTTGTTGATCGACCATGTCCAGTCCAGATTGGTTCACGGAGTGTGCGGACATGAAGCAGCGGTTTCCTGACTTGGAGGATGGGATCGAGATCCATGAGAAAATCATGGGCAGCCCGTTGGTGGTCAAAACCAATGTCACAATCCCTTGGTACGATACAGATGGTCGCCAACAGGCACTCCATTCGGCACTCAATGAAGCCATTATTAATTATTCCCCAACCCTCTGCAGCGCCCAGCGGCAGCCGTATCCAAGCCAGAGTCAAGCCAGTCAATCCCGTCAATCCCCCCAAGCTTCAAGCTGCCCAAAACTGCCCAAAGTCTAAAAGCGTAAGCCCCACAGCCGAAGCCCAAGCCTAACCCAATACACCGGCCCTGCAGCTGTTCCCGCACTCGGACAACGTTCGTGGACATGCTCAGATCCTGGCCAAGTACGTAACTTGGGTGCGAAAGTATGGCCTGATCAGCGGAGTGCGAGGCCGTCAGCCGTCAGCCTTGTGTTGATTCTGTGCTGGTCTGTGCTGTGTTGATTGTCGATTTTGCGCCGCGCTGGTTCACTGAAGTTCACTGGTTCTATCTATTTGGAAGCACACGTAGTGCAGTATGTAGTTGCAACATAAATGTGTGTTCTTTCAGCTTTCAGCTTTCACGGCTTTTACTCCGATTCATAATTACCCTAGCCGAGACCTAGCTGCCGTGGCAGTGGTGCAGCAGCTGAGGTTGATGCTGATGCCGTTTGACAGTAGACACAGTAGACTCTGACAGTAGACTCTGAGACTCTAGATAATAATAAGAAATAAGTCAGAAATAAGAAATAATAATGGCCGTGTTGACTTGTCAACTTGTTTACTTGTTTACCAGTGACCAGGGACCAGCAAAACCAGGTCTAAGGCGGCCTGGGGCCGAGTAGCGAACGGGTTGCCGGCATCATGGTACGATGATGACAACATGGTATCGGTAATGAGGTAGTAATGCAGTCTTCAGTTCCAGTTCTTGTCACTTGTCACTTGTCGCGTGTTCTTACTGTTACGTTTTTTTCCTGAGAAGGCCAACCCTGGGCGATCGCGTCGGAGAACCACGAGGGCCCCTACTACTTGATTTCATGGGGGAGCTTGACACGAGCCTGTTACGAGGCTTTTGCCACGGACGCATCCAACCCGAAAGTGCAACTTACTTTGCAGAATGGTTTGCGAGGAGCTTGCCGGCCGCATTCGTGTAGTGTTACTTACTTCATGTTTGCAGTAGTCCAGGTCAAATTAAATTCACTAGCATAGCATTAGTAATTATTTGTAATTTGTAATCCAGTCTAAGCCTAGAGCCAATACAGCGGCAACTCAATCTCAAGCCCGAGCCCCGACCTCCGAGTCCTAATCCTTACAAGGTCACGGTCTTCCACTACCAAACACCGAAAGACGTTCGGGTATGGCTTCGAGACTGGCATAACCAATGGCATGCTGGCCAAGGCCAAAGCCTCGTGGAAAGATACCAGAAAATCGCCGTGCTGGACTCTACCTTTGCATGCTTATGCAAGAGCAAGGGCTGGCAGGCTCGTTCGTGTGGTCGGGGCGAAGATTCATGGCGAGGTGGCTTGGAAGCGGTCTTGGGCCGGGCTTGGCTTGGGCTAGCTGGGGAGTGAAGGTCAAGTCAAGCAGTCAAGCAGTCAATCAGCTGTAGCGGCTGTAGTAGTAGTGGCCGTAGCGGCTGTATGTAGCTGCTGCAGTGTAGCTTCAAGACGTTGTGATGTTGCTAGACATCGTGACATTACATGAGCTGTAGTACAGCAGTAGCGGCAGTAGCGATTGATTCGGCGATTGATATTGATTGTTTGATTGATGTAAAAATTGACGTATGTGTATCTATGTGAGTGAGGCTTCTCTCAGCTTCTCGGCTTCTCGTTCTAATGTCATTGGTTGGGCGGTGTTGGTCCGATTGGTCCAGTGTCGGCGCCGGTGTAGGTGTTGAGTCGGTGTGCGGTGCGCGGCTGTATGAGTCGTTGAGTTGAGTCATCGAGTAAATTGAGCCGGGGCGAGCTGGAACAACGGGACGGAACAGCTTCGGGCTTCGGGTAATTCTGAAACAATCAATGTAACAATCAAGAATTCAAGAATCAAGAGTCGACTCGCCTTTCTTTGTGGTGATGCTCCGATGGTGACGGGCCGGTGACGGGCTGGGTGACGGTCCACGATAACGGTCGGAATAATTCGGAATAAACTTTTTGCGGCGCCTCTCTGTGCACATGGCTTTGTTAAGTCTCTGATGTTACCTGATGTTTGCAATTTGTAAGTATGGCAGTATGGTATTGTGAGCATGGTTAGTCATGGAGTCGGAGTCACGATTAATCGTGAGTCGTTAGTGTGGTTCTGTTCTAGTTCTCAGTTCCCACGTTTCCAGCAGTCTCAGTCTCAAGTCTCAAGACTGGCAGTGACTGAAGCAGTGTAGCTTATGGCTTTATGGCTTCGTGGGACAGCCTGGGACAGCTTCGTAGCTTCGGGTAGTCGAGTCAGCCGGGCCGAGTCCAGCCCGACATCTAGTGCACATAGGCACATAAGTGCACATAAGTGCAAATACGGCACATACCCGGTAGCCGTGGACAGCAAAATGGACGGCAGGAGTTTAGCCAGCATACTGGTTCTGGTTGGGCCGTAGAGAGAGAGAGAGAGAGAGAGAGAGAGAGAGAGAGAGAGAGAGAGAGAGAGAGAGAGAGAGAGTGTGTGTGTCCGAGTGTCCAAGTGTCCAAGTGTCCCTAAAGTAAACCCTATAGCCTGTAGTCTGTAACCCGAAAACCGAAAACCGCAGTGGCTATTCAGTCAGCAGTCAGCAGCTACCGTGCGAGTGGAGTTATCGTAGTCAATCAGAGTACTCAGTAGTCAGACTTGTCAGACTAGTAAGAGACGTAGTGAGTCAGTAGTGTAGATACCCAAACTGACCCGTCCCGTCGTGCATTGTGTACTGCACACTGCACTCACCTCGCGACCGACCTCCTCAGGTCGGAAATGGACCTTCGTACAGCAGCACGCGCCTAGATTCTTCAATTCGATGCTTTCTTTCGAGTGCGCAGCTGCCACGTGCAAGCATTTGAAGCAGAAGGGGTGGTATGAGTCATTCTTGCATTTCATGGATGCATGCACCCTTTGGGATGACAATCGTTTAGACAACCAAGCGGCCATTGATGTGATCCATAAGTGGGCTCTCGCGTTGAGCAAGTTCAATGCCACCGATGAGTTTGCACTGATTGCTTTCTTGGAAGGTGTCCGGTTCATGCTTCCAACAGTCCCGGTGTCCCCGAAGCTCGACGGTGTCAAAGTTGTTTTGTCCGGGCGGCAAGTCAACATGTTCTTCACGAAAGAGTCGGATGCGAAGTCTCACATGCTGCATTGGATCCATGCTCCTATGAAAGACTCTGTCGTCTACAAGGACGCCGACGGCAGCAAGGAGCCTGTGTTACTGCCGGAGAAACGTAGAGGTGAAGATGCGGTTTCTTCAACTGCGGCTTCGAAGAAACGGAAGACGACGACCACCACAGGCCCCAAATCTATTTCGGGTTCGGGCGCGGACGGCAATGTGCTTGTTCCGGTTCAGATCAGAATGACGGGGAATTCAGAGAGCAAGGCATTGCTGCAGGCACATGAGGAGTCATCGGCGATGGATGGGCTTACTCCTGAAGATGCCGATGGGGCTGATGATCCGGGACGTTCCTCAGGACGGTCGCGAGATAAGCCAGATAGGAAGACTCCGACTCCGACGTTTGCAGCTCCTCAGTCCAGGGATATCCAATGGTTCGATGACATGATGCTTTCCTGCATTTCAATTCTTGCTTCGCACGGCTTGTGCATGCCGGATGGGTCGCATGCCAAGCAGGAGACGTCACCTCAGGACGATGCTATCACTCGTGTACGACAGCAACTTTTTGCGGTTTGTGTCAGCACAGGACTTTCCTTCGTTTGGGGCAAGGAGGTCTCCATTGGATCCAAGTGTCATACGAAATGGTCTGCGACACGCAAAGCTTTGTTGACCATGATAGATGAAGCTGCTCGCAAGTCCATGCAGAATCCTGGAGATGAAGAGGTCGCAGCATCGGCGATTGCAACTGCAACAGGCGCCAGCGGGCCCAATGCGCCAGCGGCCGCCTCTGCCGCCAAGCCTGTTGCCTGGGCCGATGAGTTGTTGAAGGCTTGTGATGAGAGTCTTGACAATGCCGCCAAGAAGGAGACGATCAGTGAAGCAAAGCAAATGGAGGCACGAGCAGTAGAACTTATGGCAACACATGGTGCTCTACTGGATGCTCACATTGGCCAATATCGGCCGGTGACCCCGATTCAGATGGAACCTTGCTTCGCTTCAGCGCAACAGACGGTTTGGGGCACATGCGAGGCATCGGCCAAAGATGGCAAGTTGGACATGGCCTCAGTGGTTGAAGCCATGATGTACGCTGTGGAGAGCACGCATACTCACAAAGTGTTAGCTTTGGCATCTTTGCTTCAAGACCACAAGCCCGCAGACATGCCTGCCGCCCTCGCAGAAGCGCCAGCACTGGTTCTAGCACAGGTGGCAAAGAGCCGAGCAAATTTCATCGTTCAACTCTTCAAGGGCTTCGTGGCTTTGGTTACGGATGCGGAGGCGGACTCCCATGCCTTTGCCGAGACGCGCTACGAAACCTTACGCAATCAGCTCAGCCGGGTGGAAGGGGCTTTCCGTGACAGGTCGAGCTTAGGTCTCCTACGTGATTTCGATGCTGGAACCGTTCTGAAGTCGAACCTTCCCTTTGAGGATCATGTCGAAGCCTGGCAGAAGGTTTTCATCGAGATCACAAAATCCGCTGGCCCGACTTTGGCAACCGCCCTCGGCAAGAAGGTCATCGAAGATAAGATGGTGGCGATGTCCAACGGTGACAACGGCAAGGGAGCTCGTGCTCAGGATGATGATGAGGATGATAAAGATGAGCCGCGGGAGTCACAGTCGAAGGGTCAGACTCAGAGTGCTGCTGAGGCTCAGAGTCCTGGTGCCAATAACATCGTCAGCTTCTCGCAGATCCTCACGTGTTGCCATCCGGAAGAGGCCCCAGAGTACGATCCTCCAGAAGGCTTGGAGGACGATTCCATTCCGATCAACGACATCAGTGATTCCGAGTTCAACATGTCGATTCTGCAGCCGGTCTTGGCACAGATTGAGGCCACACTCTACAGTATGGCTTTCATGCCTGAGTCCATGGAAAACTACGACCGCATGAAGATCGATATCACTCAGAAGGTGACAACCGTTATGTGTCATGACAGGCCGCAGAACCTGACTTGGTTTCCATTTGCTGGCAAAGTCTCGATCAACAAAACTCCCATGGATTCCTATAGCTTGTGCGCGTCTTGGCTCTATGTTGCTAGGCTTGCTTCCGATTTTTTGGACAATCTTGCACAGTAGTGTAGTCGGAAGTTGTTGCTGTGTGGAATCAATGGTGAGTAAAATCATACGAGTCTGAGTCTGACTACATGACTACGAGTCATGCTGGGCTAGTCGCTAATCCTCCTGTTTAGGCTTCAGGGTCGTGGTAGCAGTGGTAGCCTAAGGTAGTCTGATTCTGATTCAGAGTTCAAAGCCCAAAGCAGTGCAAATTTCGGGTATCAGACGTCCGAGGTCGGTATAGGTTCAGGCTCAACTACAAAATAGAAAGCTCAAAAACTCAAAGAGTCAAAGAGTTTAGGTTAAGGTTGGCATAATCCGCATAATAATCATTACAGTTTGATTGACTTTGAATTTCAGTCAGTGTAAGTCAATCAAGTAGTCGATTTAAGAGTCGATTTATTTGATTTTTTAGATTTTATCATTGAGATCATCATCACCCAATCAATGCCCAATCAACCAACCCGGTAACAGCGGTGACAGCGTACCGAACACCCAAACGGCAAGCGGCAACCCCAACCTGAGGTCATTCAGTGGAATGATGTGCAGCTGCCCATTTATGTGAATGGGGACAAGCACAAATCGCTTGCAAGTGAATGTCCAGTGCCTGCTTTCTGCTGCAAGGCAGTCTCGGTAGGAGCAAGTAACATGAACTTAGTTCGCAAAACGGCCAAGGTGGATATGTCTCAGATACCAGGATGGCCCGATGACGATTTGGCTATCTTGGTGCCGGGCCTCGAAGCGCACCCTGAATGGGTGCCACCGGGCAAAGCAGCATCAGATCCCTGGGAAATGACCAGGCCGAATGTGCAAGTGAAGAAGCCGGTCAAAGATAAAGATGCCAAAGGTAAAGATGCTTCCAAAAGTAAGGCCAAAGCGGCTGCCAATGTGTTCCTGTACCAGCTTCGCGCTGCCAGCACGTCGGCAGCGCAAAGCAAAGCCGACCGCCGCATGTTCAAGAACATCAACCACATCTTGAAGTGAGTCGGCGTGGCGGTGTGTGAGTTCTGATTCTATTGACTGCCGACTGACCGATGACAGATGACAGCAGCACCGAACACCGTACCGGCCGTACCGGCTTATATCCCCTTAAACCCCTTAAACCCTTAAACCTTAAAGCCTTAATCCTGAAGAAGCCTATCCCAAGTCGCCCTAAACATACAGAGACCTTGAGGCCTGAGACCTGAGACCCTGTATGTCTGTTTGGTACTGTATATACTGTATACTGAAACACTGAAACAAGAATTTGCTTGAACCCTGATGACCTCGCCTGAATCTGAATCCCGTTCGAAGCCTAGATTCCCTAAGCTAGGCGGCCGAGCCGAGTCCGAGTCCGAGACCGAAGTGACTCAGTGACCCTGACTCTGATTAACTTGGCCTGATGCCGATGTGACCCTAGACTCGCTGAAACACTGGTTACAGTTACAATCTCAGTGTAGGTACGGTGTTCGTGTTGCCTTGTCGCTGTCTGTCCAAGCCCCTGGCCGTACGAGCCGTACCATGGCCGGGCCGTACCATATTGTATGGTGACCGGCGGTGACCGGTATGGTGTGTGTACTGCGTCTCCAGTACCAAACTTTAATTGATTTATTTACTTACTAATGACTTACCAAATATTAGATGATATCATATCCGATCCTATCTATTCTAAAAGTCCAGTCCAGCGCATTATGACTAGACTTTGACCCAATCCACTCCGGAAGGATGTCAATCATGAGTCATGAGGCTCGCGAGTCGTCAGACCGTGCCGTGAGAGATGAAGATTGCTGTGGTTAAGTGCGGCTGGCATGGTGTGTTTTTCTTTTCATGTTTTCGGTGTGGATTCCGGTAAAGGGCGATAGGAATTGTATCGGTATGGGGTACGGTGTGGCCGTATGGCCACCTGCTATATTCTAGACTTTTCGAACCCGACTCATGGCGAGATCCTCAACATTGCTGCCATTCTTCGGCCTTTTCTTCAGCGGTTACAGAAACCGCTGACGCCGGCTGACGCCTAGCAGATGAGACAAAAAAGAATGTGCGCCAAATTTGCTTCATCACCTCTGCGGCAGCTCACGCTAATAGCGACATTCCAGTCATTCTGATTACAATGCGGGACCAAGGTGGCATGGTTAGAGTGTGCTTAGCTTCAGAAATCACCGATCTGTACCCTCAACAAGTCGTAAGTCAAAGGCTGCTCCGCGGCCCAATGATACTGTTCTATCAGGAATGCTATGTGATAAATACAAGATATCAGATAGTTTCGGAGTCGTGTTGTTCGAACAAACACCACGACTACTGTAGTATGATGACATTGGTGTGGGAAGATTTGCATCTCGCATCAGCGACCGCTGCAACTGTGCGCTCCTAGGGAATGCATGCCTGATGGTGGCCTCGTTGTAAGTGTTGCAGGTTGCTAGGTGCCAGGCAAGGAGTGTTTACAACATGCTGTTTCCAGGCCCCTGTATGCAAGAGCTTACATAGTCGTGGCGGCTAAAAGCTATGTCAACCAGGACTTGGACAACGGAAGCCCCAACGATGATCACAGGGCTGCCTGTGTGGATATCGAGGGATGCCTTAAGCGAGGCAGCCAGAGACCGCGACTACAGAGACTCCGGTTCGACGGCGACAAGATCAGATCGGAATCTGGTCGACACATCTTGGAGCAAGCCTGTGCCAGCTTTGTGCAGCCGGTGTGGGCCACACACCCTGATGAGCACTATAGACTCATCCAAGAGCACATGCTTGCCACCCTCAAGGCCGACTTCGCGATCGACGGAAGCCTGGGACATGCCTCATATATACCGGATGAGGTGTGGGACCTACGGCAACAGAAGAACCGTCTGAGAAGCCGAACCAAGAACCGGCGCGACAGCTGGCGTCTCAGTCTGAGGGATGCCTGGGCAATCTGGCGAAATACGGACAAGGACGACACCCGGGCCGGCCTCCGCCACCGACAGCTCATGTATGAACTGGTGGCAGCTGCGGTCCGGTTTGCCACCCACCGGATCAAGACAGGCATTGCCAAGGCCAAGGACCAGTTCCTACGGAAGGTTGCTACAGAAGGTCACCAAAATGTTGGCGCCATCATGCAAAGGGCCAAGCGAGCTGGCCTGGGCGCGAAGGCGAGAAAACCCTTCAGCCGGGAGTTGCCGAAGCTACTAGACCCAAACTCGGGCCGCGCGGCCTCGTGTGCGGAGGACAGAGATGACATCTGGCTTCGGCATTTTGGGGACCAGGAGGCTGGCACGATCAAATCCACGCAGGACTTCATTGAGGAGGTGGCTGCTTGGCAGGAAAGCCGAAGTATGGAATGGGAGTGGCAACATCTCCCGTCGACGAGGGATCTGGAGCGCGTGATGAGGGGCATCAAGCCTGGAAAAGCAGCTGGACTCGACCAAATCCCCAGTGATGTGCTGTGTGCTTGCCCAGTTGCGGTAACACGTCTCCTCCAACCTCTCTATATGAAAGCATTGCTTCTTGGGAGGCAACCTATCCAGTGGAGAGGCGGCGTGCTTTTCGAATCATACAAGCACAGCGGACAGAAGTGTTTAGCAGAAAACTACCGAAGCTTGTACATTTCAAGTTTCCCTGCAAAAGCACTGCACCGCGCAATGCGCCGCAAGGTCGATGATGACGTAGAGGCGGCCCTGCACCCACTTCATTGTGGCACCAGACCAGGGCTACCCATCAGTTTCTCGTCGATGTATGTCGCTAGCCATCTGCGGAGATGCGCCAAGATGCGCAAGTCGGCAGCTGTGCTATTTGTCGACACGCGGAGTGCGTACTACAGATTGGTCAGGGACCTGGTGGTTGGCGACCTGCGATTGGACCGATCCATTGAAGAGCTGTTCTACCGGTTCGGGATGGACGGAGAGGATATATCTGAACTATGGGGCCTGATACGAGAAGGGGGAATGCTTCAACAAGCGGGAACCCCTGAGCCGATCAAAGCCTCCGTCCAGGATTTCCACCAATACACTTGGTTTACGTCACGGTTCTCTGCAGGCGACAAGTTGTGCCACTCGGTCGCTGGATCACGACCAGGTGCCTCGTGGGCGGATTGTGTGTTTGCCTTCCTCTACACCCGTATCCTGCACCGGGTGCATGAGGTGTTGGTCGGCGAGGAAATCAATGGTGCCTTGCCCTATGATCCGGAAGGTGGCCCTTTCTCAGTACAGCCGGAAGGGGAGAGCGAACCCATGTGGGATACCACGTGGGCGGACGACACAGCCTATGTGACCGAAGATGATGAGGCACCGAAACTACTCTGCAAGGTCAGCAGGATCACCAGCGTAGTTATCACTGCCTTCAGAGCACATGGACTCGACCCAAACTTGAAGAGAAACAAGACCAGTGTGCTCTTGAGACTCTGTGGGAAGGGTGCAACGACGGTGCGACGACAAGTCTTCGGAAATGGCCGCCCGCTCATTTACCTCCCAGACCTGGATGAAAGTGTCCATGTGGTTCTTACCTACAAGCATCTTGGAGCGATGTTGGACCCAACTATGGCACTACGACATGAGCACCGCTACCGCACAGCTATGGCCTCCACTGCATATGACAGTGCCAAAGACCTTCTGTTGCAAAACAGAGACTTGAGTCTGGAAACAAGAACGTCGTTGTTCCGGAGTGCAGTGGTCTCAACTTATTTCAATCTGGAGCTCTGGGTGCCCGGAGGCCCAAGTTGGGATTTGATGTGCGACAACTTCTCAAGGACACTGCGGCGGCTTTTGTGTCGCGAAGTTACTGGTGACGCCTTCTACAAGATCCCGTTACCTTTGGCACATTGGGCGACGGGTTGTTGGCCTCTGGACTACTTTGCCAGACGCGCACGGATCTCTACACTGATCTCGATGGTCCGATCGGGGCCCCCATTGTTGTGGGCGATGCTACAGAACGAGGCTACTTGGTGCAAGGCAGTTAGAGAGGACCTACGATGGTTGGTGGGACAAGATGCAGAGCAATGGCCTGAGGTCACAAGGACAGCTTGGCCACAATGGTGGCATGTACTCAGACAACAACCGGAACGGGTCAAAAGGAGAGTGGCCCGCCGAAATGCGGATGACTTCCTGCAATTCCAAGAGGAGACTGCTGTGCATGTCTGCTTGTGGTACATGTACAAGATGGTGGCCACCGTTGCAAATGGAGCGCAGCGTGCTACAGCTTGGACATGCCGAATGTGCCAGAAAACTTTTCGCAAACGATCAGGTCTTGGAGTACACTTTTTCAAGACACATGGACGGCAGGCGGAGTATCGGGAGTTCCTGGAAGGCAGTCGTTGCAAAGCATGTAACTGTGAATTCTGGACACAGGGAAGGTTGGAGGACCATCTCAGAGCTTCCACCAAGTGTGTCAGAACCCTCCGCAGGACCTTCCAACCGAACCAACAGGCTCCCCCGGGATATGGAAGCATCAAAAGGCGGCGAGAGGAAGCAGCGAATTTTACCCCTGCAGCACCGAAGCCAGTGGGGGAGCCGCTGCCCCAAACAGACGAAGTCCTGTGGAACCGGTGGCAAAAGAGCCTCTATAGGGAGATTTCCGATGCTACCTTGGACGGAGGATCAGAAGAAGGGCTCGAGAAGGACGTCTACAATGCAATCAGAAAGCAGCCGCTTTACCCCGAAGAGATCCAACAAGTTGTGGAGACCCTGATCAGCGAGATCGAGGGCATCCATGCGGACAAGGATTTGGGACAATGGGATGAGCAGGAGTTTGTCACGATTGTCCGATCAATCAGGGAAGGGCAAGCTGCTACATGCCGTCCAGAGGTGACGGCGTCGCAGGAGGAGAATGACCTCCTGAAGCGGCAAGCGTTCCACCAACACATGGGAAGTGTTGACTGGACGGAGGTTCTCTCAGCCTACTTGCCTGAGGACCAAACCAGCCAAACCGAGGAGCACGGGACCCTACGAAGTTCGCTGTTCATCCTGCCCGACAACTGGGAAGCAGAATGGAATCGTGGCAGGGGCGAGCTTTTGAATTCTGCCGTGCTTAGAGACCCGGTTTCTTTGTTGCCCAATCTGCTCAGGGAAGCATGGGACTGTGTTGTAAAGAAGCACAGACCAACAGTCCGTGCCCCTGGGAAATTTTGGGCCCACCCCGTGGCAGCGCCATTTCGGCCCTTTCGGGATGACTGCAAGACCTAATTAAGCAGCGGACACCACTGAATGCCAGGAAATGCGAAAATATATTTCCAGAGGGACAAACAGGGATAATAAGCCTTAACTCTTGGGGACCGCAGCAGGTTCAAGAGCCTAGACTCTTAGACCCTGCAGAAAGTATCAGATACTCTGTTGTCACTGGGAGGCTGGACGGAAGCAAAGCCCTTCTTCTGGCCTCCCGGTGAAGCCTTCAGGTTGAGGGCGGCTGAGGCTTCGGGGTTTAAGCTTACGGTTTCGAAGTTCGGTTTGAGGGAGGCCGGTGATCAAGCTCGAGGGTGGGGTCATGATGCTAGTGATAGTCTGCTCAAGCGCCTGGTTGAAAAAAGGGGAAGGCCGATGATCAAGTTCGAGCCTTGAGGCTTTTGTCGGTTTTAGGGCTTGCGGCGGCTTTCGCAGTTTTGGTTTTGGGGTTCACGCACGATGCGGTCTAGGGTCAAAGGTCCTACGATGGGGTCACGTTAGGAATGTCTTGCGATTTGGGGATGTTCGTGTTGAGACTTCGAGTTCAGTAAAGGGCATCGAGGAAGTCTGCTGAACCAACAGCACGAAAGCTCCAAACCAACGCGATATCAGTGAAGCCCGTAAAAAACACACACACATATTGTTTCGTCCCTAGGGTCGCTCATACATGAACCTGGACTGTAATATGACATGCCCCTCCCCCAAGCTTTAGTCGGTTTAGCGAGGCCCCTAGATTGAACAATCCAAGACAAGCTTACGAAGTATGGGGTTGAGGGCATTGGGCAGTTTCATTGTAGAGAGGGTTCTTCATAGCGTAGATGCTGTTGCTTAGGGCTTGATCTTGGGGTCCCTTGTTTTCTGCAGTTCAAAGATGCAGAGATGTGTGCAACACCAGTGTCCTTCGATTCTGAGAAACTTCGTCTGGAGAGTAGAACTACTACCAGCGCCTTTTGAAGGTTCCCGGTACCGACCCAAATCCCATAGGAGCGAAAAGCCAAACTCCAACGAGTTGCTACAGACCTGGTATGAAGGAGACCAGACCTTAGCCAACATATCTGGAAGCCCCAAACCCCTGTCACTTGAGGTATCAGATGCCATACCCTTCGGTCTACCATGGGCACGCGGAAGCTATACCTGCGAAGCTGCGACGGAGAGGCTTTGCTACTTGCCCTGAGGCAAAGGATGTTTTGTCCAAACTTCCGGTTTGGGTTCTTCTCGCCCAGACCCCTGACTGCTAAACCCCCAGGCCCAGAAGCCACAGCTGAAGAGTTAGGTTTCGGGTTGTAGGATTCTCGACTTTGTGTCGTTGTGTTCTTCCCCCTTCTTTGACACCTGTATGGGATTCAGCCAATACTCGTGCACGGTTCAACCGGCAATATGTTCGCAGGCGTGGTAGCTTCCGTGCAAGGATAACTGCTTCCACATTTCGGGTGTTAACAGAGGAGTCGATGAGTGTACCAGCATCATCGTAAGAAGCCCGATAATCTCCAGAATTCTCTTAAGCCAATGTTTTGTTAGTGTCTAGGCTAAACCTTACACCCTACTGTTGTCCCTAAGGCGCGCTACCTGTGGAGCTTCACTGGCACAGGACTACCCAGTAGGATTTAGGCTTGTGGCTGTAGTATCCAGGGTCTTGGGTCCAGAAGAGGAGCTGGGCTTGAGGCCTGTATGCAAAAAGGGTTGAGGGTGCGGAAGGATTTACAAACACCGTGTCAAACTGCGTATTGCAAAAGATCGGGGGACTGATTACGGGGTGCTGTAAAGACCGCAGCGACTCTTAACCCGAGTGGTCTTTGTTGTAGCCATTCTTCAAGCGGACCTGCGGCCCAAAGCATTTGAACCGATGGGTAATACTGAGGGTCTCGTTTCGACCGGAAGCATTGTTGTAGGTGTCAGCATGCAGCACAGCCCCGCACAGCCACGGCAGTCGCCGCATCTTTAAAGTAGAGCAGGCTTTGTTGATGACGACTGCTGTTGGCGATGATGTTTTGGTCACCATGCTAACGCTCGCGCTGAGAGTGATCGTGGTGGATACATATATATATATATACATACATGTCATGTAAAACCATTTATATTTTATAACTATTATGGTTGTCTGTTGTTGCTTTCCCTAAACCTTGAACGCTTAATCCACGAAAACCAGACCCACCAGAGGACGCGGGATTGCTGGCGAGCTGCGGGGCAGGATTAAGCAGCAGTGTAGTCTTTGCACGAGGCCCCATGTGGGAATCGGTTGCTGGGGAAGGCTTCAGGACGTTATGTATATAGTTCTCGGAATTGCGATTGTCGGCACATAGCCCTTATTATATACATGTATATATTGAATTATATATGTACTTTTTCGCACACGGTGTAAATTGGCACTAAACTCATCATACAGGAACCGCTTTACGGCCACAGTACATATGATATCGGAACATGGACCCTCAGGCTCAAGGTGGGTGGTTTAAGGGGATAGGGTGCTAGGGAATCTTAGCGAGAGCCAGGCGGAATTGAGGGTTTGAAGGTTTCAGTATGCACGCTGCTTGGACCCACATGGCATAACAAAGGCTCCGATTTCAGATGCCCAGTTTGCGTGGGGTTTCGGCATCAGAAACCCGTTCCAAGTTGCCCGACCCAAACCCGAAATCCTAAGCCACAGTACCCCAAGCCCTTTCCGAAATTTTCGGTCTCCCACAAAGTGGTAGAAGCTGCAAAGCTTTAAGGTAACCTTGAGCTTCTACTGGCTTTGTCCCGCCTAGGTTGGGCTGTTCGATTTAGGGTTTCGGGCTTATTGTTATGCTTCTTAGGTTTGTAGAGGGTTTGATGCAAGCGAAGGTGAGTGGACGGGCTTTGATGTATGTTGAAGGATTGGATCAGGGTTTTTGCAGAAGTATGTTTTGATCAGATTCCTTATCGCATCAGAGACTAGAAGATATACTGTAGGGCAGCATGGTTTAGTTGGAGGCCCTAATTCCATCCACTCTCAACCGTCTCAACCTTTCATAAAGGGCTTAGGACCGAGAAGTCTACGGCGCTCTCCTGCCACCCCTTTCGAGAGCAAGGATGCCGGCACTTCAAGGGAAACTCCGACTTGCATCGCAAAGCCTGAGCGCTCGAGCCCTCGATCCTAAACTTTCTGATGCCATGGACTTTTGAATATTCTTGGGCTTAAACCTCATTTCGGGAACGAAACCCTGGGTCAGAACATGAAGTTGCCGAATGCCGGAGGTGCGTTCAAGGGTAGGTAGAGCCCTCGAAGCTGGAGGAGTTCGCCTAAAACTCCTACTGCCCTTAAAACCAGAGCACTATTCCTCGGGGCTCTTCAGTGTTGTTGTTATTAGTGTAGCATATCCTGCAACCGGACTCTAGTTTCTAAGGCATCATATGAGAACAATATATATCTCCAACCCAGCCACATCCCGCCATTCGCCAGATGTGGGCGCGTGAGCGACATAGCAGAAGTCGGAGGAGAGGTGAAGCAGAGAGGAGGCCACCTATACTCGTACGTGGTTAAGGTTTTAATTAGCACAGTCTTTCTGAACCGAGCGATTGATGAACATCCATCTTCGTCACTTTCAATACCAGCTTGATAGCTTGCATCATGCTCTTGATTAGTCTGGGAAGTGCTCCCGACCCAAGATCTCTATTAGAGATCCTGAGTCGCAGAGTCCTGAACCTCAAGGCATCAGTTGACAAGCTCTCAAAACTCAATGCAGGTCCTACACACATGTACTCTTAACAAGGGGCCCCGAATCTCAACCCTTGGCCTTGTCACCCTCAATAGAAAAATCACAAACTCAAGCCGTTATCCCGGCCCCCTTACAGTGCAAGTAGCTCGTTGTTACACCCTTCGAAGCTGTTGCAAAGCCTTCCAGAGCCGTGTAAACATCCTTAAGGGCTGCTTTTACAGACGAGAACTTAGACCCTAAACCTGAAACCCTTAAGTCTTTCGGCAGACGACAGCTACCGTTACATTGCCGAGCTCAAGCTCCAGTCGACTTTCTGTGCCTCAGAATACGTTCTGTAGCCGTTTGGTAGGAGGTTTTCTTTTTTTGTTGTAGGTTTTCGCAGGGTTCTACTACAGGGCTTTCTTGATTTGAGGGTTTCAGGATTGTGGGATTTGAGAGGGTATGGGGCCTGAGAGTTCAGGTTGATAATCGTCGCGCATGCAGAAGTTACACTTGCCGCCTTAGGCTTGGAACCTCCCGGCGACACGCTCACGCGCAAGAGCCTCTTAGAGACTCGGATCTCGAGCTAGCTGCGGGTCTTGGGCTCCGGGCGTTGCAGGATCGAAGTAGCATGGGGGCTTGAAGAATAGCTACCAGTAGCACACGAACAAATGAAGACGCGACTCTATATGTGTATATGGACCACCCAGCTTTATTTAGTAGATCTTTATACCCAAGACTATGTATTTGTTCTTGTTCATGTATACAGTGAGACCCAACCCTTGTGGTTTCCAGCATTCTGTAGGCTTATTTTTTAATGGTTTAGTTCAGTTTAGTTAGTTTATAACATGTACACACACACACATATATATATACATCTATACACATACAGATACGTAGAGTATGTATGCATGTATGTATGTATGTGTACATCATGTACGTGCATACCTCTCTGCTCACCTGCCTACATGCGTACCTACATAGGTATATGCATGTATGTATATTATATATAATATAATATATGTATATATGTAGTATGTAGTTAGTTCTGATGTAGATATAGATAAAGACATGTCTCTGCATATTTTTGCAGGTATAGACATGTATCTAGGCGTGACCGCAGATGCTGGTTCCACTCAGGACTACTGACAGATTGGTCTGGAATTCGGGTGAAGCTTATGCTGCCACTGCTTGCACATGTCCTGCAACACAGCAGCAACAGCAGCACCAACAAAGATTGCGGCGAATAACTCACACGAGACTTTTGAAGATAACTGTCATTTTGAAGCTCTGAAACCTGGTGCTTCTTGTAGCGCTGCCACTAGACAGTGAGCATGCTACTGTTGTCTTGGTGGATCATCATCCAAGCCTGCTCAGATTCATGATTTCGTGGCTGGGGCTCAGATAACCGTGCGTCTTGCCACGTAACCTGAGGCAACCAGAACGGCAACAAATATACTGCACAAATGCCAAACCGTGCTAGCCACCAATCATCACAACGCTTAGTCTTGGCTCTTAAGACCTTAACATCCAACATTAAACTTCATCGTGTCGGTCCATGCCTGCTATGGAGTGGCTACATGAGCTCCTTTCGGATGCCTGGCTGTCCTCGCTTATGGGTGAGCAGACCATCATCGAGCACTTTGAGGCAGTAGGACATGGAACCAGGTTCTTTATGCGAGGTTCTAAAGATGGTTTAGGGTTTAGGTTTGGTATATACGGAAAGGTTTGGTATATACGGGTCTATAGGGTTTTGTGTTTAGGATTGAAACGTTTGTTGAGTTTGGGGTTCGTTGAGGCGAGGATCCTCTTTGAGTATTGTTTAGGCAGCGCAGTGCAGTTGCTGGCTTTGACTAGATGGCCCGCCTTCAGCCACCGTCGAACTGTGTAGTGAAAGTATAAAGTGCGGGCAGACGTGAGCCTGAACTACGAGTGTTAATCCGAGGCCAATAACCCCAAGAAGTACAGACTTGTGAGGCTGAGAGGGCTCTCGTTGCATGGATCTGGCCCCTAAGTCCACCAACACGAGAACAACCCCAAAGTCGCCCACCAGTCAAACCCTCAGCCCAGAACCCTTAAAACAAAAAGGTCCTAAAGCCCAGGCCGTATAAAGCTCAAAGAGAACCCCAACCCGAATTGCCAATAGTAGGTACCCTTCCTTTGTAAGGGTGCGGAGACTAACTTGTCCTTCAACCCGAAATCCACAAGCCCGTCAAAGAATCCGGACAAGAGCCTCATCATACCCACTCACTGAACTCTGAGCCTTCAGCCTTAAGACTGAATCTTAAACCGCAACAGTGGCAAACCGCAACAATGCCAAAGCAATGTACAGGTCATGGAAGGCGAGGGCAACTCTTCCAGCGTTTTGGTCAAAGTGGAGTGTACCTGGGCTCTGTTTTTTTGCGTGGACGAAGGAGGGGGGAAAGGGGATCTGCGAGAAGGGCTTCATAGGGCGCATGGGAGTCTAGGGTTAGATTAGGGCTTATGCTTTCATAAACTCTGGACTTAGCTCAGGCTTGAGTATGGCTTCGAGCTTAGGGCTGGAAGGGCTATAGCAACCCCACAACTCCAGGCCTTAAACCCTGAACTCGCATTTGATTTGGTCTGTGTTCGTTTCAACCTGTAGTGCCACTGTGCAACCCACCCGCAAACACCCAAGCCTTCAGAAATTCGTTGCCAAGGTAAGCAAGGGCCTTTGATGCTGAAGATGCTGGGCCTTTGTTGGTGTCAGCTAGGGAACACGATTTACGTCAGCATTGTTTTGCTGAACAGGGTTTCGTAAGGTTTCAGGATACCACGATTGAGGTAGGAAGCACACAGTTTGCTGTGCTTACAGCTTCTGGTTTCTGGTATTTATCAACAGATTTCTTTGGTGAACATCTTGGTTTCATTGTAGGGTAAGAAGAGCCCAGGATCACGCGGCGGGTGTCTGGAGACAATCTGGCAGCTCCGGTCGAAAGGGCGGCTTGGCTTCAGATCCCTCGGCTCAAGAGCCTCAAACCTTCTATGCCCCCACCCTAACCCCATAAACCCGAAGCCCAAAACCGCAGACTGCTAAGCTTTGAGAACTCCCTGCGACGTCAGGAGGCGCTGTTCTACCAAAGCGCTTGGCGCGAGCTGCATAATATTGGCATCGGCCTGCTGGATCCTGGGCCTTTACCCTAAGGCCCCGTAGTAGTTCCTTTTTGTGGCTCATAATATTCGAAATTCTAAATCCTATAAGGTAATCCCAAAAAGGAACTACTTTGGGGCCTATGGGTAGGGATTAGAGTGATTAGAGCTGTAGAGTTCTGTGACGGGTCTAAAATCAGGATCAGCAGACCTTTACCGGACACTGTACAGCTCAAAATTCAGGGCCTTTGGGCTATTGGGGCTTATATGGGCATATTCGGCATTACATAGGAGGGTTGTGCTGTAGAGCTTAGGATTGAGGATGGTTTACGATTTATGCATTAGTTTTTACTTGTAGGAGATGATAATCCTGCTTGCGCCCTGGCTATTCTTCTTTGTTGTAGCAGGTCGAGGGTTTGCCGCTATGGCGGCTTAAGCGGCAGCATCGAGCCAGGAACTGCATGCCGTTGACATCCGCCCCGACATGTCGGCCATAGTGCTGGAGTTTGTGAAGGACTCATTGTCATTTTGTCCCGAAGGTCTGGGCATTACACAGTTCTAGGAACAGAAGGAGATGATGTTTTACAGGGTTGAGACTAAGACAGGGTTTAAGGTTCAAACGTTTAGGACTGGACCTACGTAGTCACAACATTACGTAAAGCCATTTAAGCATAGCCCAAGTCCAGCACTCCAACAGAGCGAGCCCTTGCCAGAGAGGACGGTTGGCGGACAGGCTCGAATGCTGGACTTCTTCGATGCCAAGCTGAAGCATTGATCCAAGTTCTTGCTCGACTTCATGCGTGGGGCCTGAAGGGCAAGGACACTTGGCGTATAAAGCCTAAATTTAGTAGAATCCTGGAAGGATTACCGAAATACGATATCGATCTCCATACAGTATAACTTGAAGAAAACTCGCATAAACAGCTCGGTTGGCAAGGACAGTTTGCCGTGGCTGGAGGACTGCCGAGACGGACATCTTCTGAAGCACGGCTTGCCGGACTTGTTCCGAAGCAGTGTTCCCAAAATCACGGAAGAGAAGATCCAAGCTGCGTCACCGGCAGTCGAACTGCACCATGCGCGAAAGATGCTCGAGATGCTTCAGGTTGCAGGGAGGCATGGGTTATATGAGTTCGCGATCGATTCGGTGATGCAATCTGGCCCGCAAACCGTCGTCCACATGGATGCGCGGCAGGGAAACACGTTTTTCGCAACAGAGGACGAGGCCGGCAATGACGTACTAGCCAATCGAGTGAAACTCTTCGATTGGCAAAATGTCACAATCGGGACTGGTGCCTTGGATTTGGCTTACACTCTGAGTGGTTCTCTGTCCGTTTCTGACCGACGTGAATGGCAAGATGATTTGCTGGCATTGTATAGGAAAGTTTTTTGTGATGTGTCCAGCACCTCCTACCCAATGGAGCGCCTCAGAGACGACTACCGGAAAGCCCTGGTATGGCCTCTCGTCTGGGCGGCGCTTACACTGGCGGATGTTGAAGCCACTGTGGACCACTGTGCTGGGCCCATGTTGGGTGCTGGCGCCGCCACTGAGGATGTGGCTAAGCGCGTCAAAGCCAGGGAGGTTGCACGGGAGTTCGTGACAGTGGGTTCAGAGAGGTACATCCAAGCAGCATTGGATGCAGGTAGTGCGCATTATGTACAAGACACGATGCGCAGCTGAAGGCATGAAGAAGCAGCATTGGATGAAGGTAGTGCACATTGTGTACAAGACACGATGTACAGCTGACGGCATGAAGTGCCATGCTTGTGCTCGCTCAGGTATGAGCTTTCCGACCTCCAACTCGCCTGCATGAATAGACCATATACAGTGTGCAGTGTACAGCTGTCGTGTAGGGAGGACGGTCCAAAATCTATCGGAAGGAAAAGACGCGACAGGCGGCTGATGTCAGGACAAAGCTGAAGTACCTGGCAAACGGTGAGCTCGTTTTCTTGACGAGAGGGCTCAGCCCAGGTCCTTGCCTGCGGCCCTGGAGGAGTTATACCCTGAAGCAATTCGTAGTGCTGTGGCACTCTTCAATTTCCGTGGTGAGTTATACTTAAGTATGTGTTTCTTTGGATCCCTTCTTGGGGTTACGTATGGTATAGACAGTATATTATACCGCAGTGTGATTCACTCCTGCGTTTCACGATTTGTCCCACAAAGCAAGAACCGTGGATCAGCGAAGCTTGACCCACACCCTATGCCCTCGAACTGTTTCGGCAGTGCTTTGTTTGTCGTGCTGCTCTTGTTACTTCTCCGGCGACGAGGCCCGCGGCCGTTGACAATTATTGACATAAGTTTCGATGATTGGCAGTGCTGCCGGTTTCATTGTTGGTCTGAGAGATCGGCCGAATCTAGTGATTTTTCTGGTTTCATTTGATACATCACGTAAGTTGCGCTGGGACATCTCGTTTCTCAGGACTCGATGGCGCTTGGCTGCATCCCCGTGGTGTTCGAACACCAGGATGCTGCGAAATGTGTGGTTGTGCAGTTGATGTTTTGCAGCCCGGGCTTCGAATGGAGGGCTCTTTATTTGTTTGTAAAGCGTGCCAGGAACATTCAAGCGGAGGTGCCTTCTTGACGTAGCCAGAGATTCCTTTCCCGGCGGAACCCGAAACCTTGAAGCCCTCGATGAAGGAGTTGGACATGTTCGAGCCTTTCCTTTCCGCTGAGCAGTTTGCCGCCACGACGCTCTTTGTCCCCGCTGCTGGCTTGGATTTACGGTTCACTGTCGTGCTCCGAACTGACATCTTCTATCCATGTTTGCTTCGGCATGTTTTGCACTTGGACCCTCCGGGGTATGAGGGGATCAAGGAGAGACGAGCTCCATGCTCCCAAAGCTCTACACCCCAACCCCCCTAAGCCCCTATTGCATATGGGGGGTGGCAATATTAATAACACTGTATTCCCTTATGGCCTGATTTTGCGATATTGTAAGAAAACCTCCCATGCCCGGCTCTCACTACGAATGCCTATGTTGTGCCAGCCATGCTAGAGGGAAACAGATGAACAACTTACGGTCTTCTTGAGTCGGATGCACGGACCCATACTTGAGCTTTTCCATAGCAGCCGTGCGATCTTAAATTCCTAAATCCAAACTCGGGTTGAATGTTTGGCTGTAGGGGCAACAGAGTCTGGGTAGATTTGCCAAGTAAAAGAATTGCCAAGCTGACTGAAGGCTTGCTGCGCAGGCCTGCTGAATAAGAGGAGCCAAACGGTAGAACCACTGAATCAGACCGACTAGGAGGACCTAAGCCAACGAGGGCTAGCTAGCTTCCTTCAGGAGGGAAAAATCGTAATCCCTGAACCCTGTAAGCCCCGCCCCAACAGAAATGAGCACTTTACATGCCGCAGCCCTGAAAAGCTTATACAAACTCTTAAACCCCAATTCTAAACACTAAACCCAATTCAACCCCAACCTTCATCCTCCAAGCCCGCCAGAGGAGGCAGAGGTCCTGGGTGGCAACGTCACCCCGTCGATCTGGGCCATCGGCAACTTGCCGGCGATGCTCCTTAGAAATTTACGCCAAAATGTCACAGGGGTATTAGGGCCTCTGGTTTGTCCCAGATCCCAGAGGGTTTAGGATACGAGGGTTTAGGTTTCAGGGTTTGCCTGGGGCTCCGTTTCCCTACTTTTTCTTCCGATGTCATCATCTACTGTCCTGCAGCAGTTTCATATGAGGAACACTACAAGTAAATTCAAGTAAACGTTCTTTTCGAACAGGGTCTCGGACGTTGTTATGCTGTAATTCGATCGCGACTATGAGGAAATGTCTCTGCTTCCTGATTCCGATCCATGTATCACCCCCAATCTACATGCTCGGTCTTCTTGTTGGTTCAAGCCTTGCACCGTCGACGTTGCCGTCTGAATCATAGTCCGTAGCTCCTGACCCAAAACCCTGAACATGCCCGAGAAATTCGATATCCCTGCCTGCAGATCATGGCTCATTTCTAGCGACTCCTTTGTTCGCGAACCTAGCGAAGCATCCGAGTGGTCGTCAGTCAGCCAGTGCCAGTCTGGTTCACTCAGTGAGGTATCCAAGAAAAGCAGCTACGTTTGAGGATCTGGGCCCCAAACCCTCAAGCCACCAGAACCCACGACCAGGGCCCTCCAGACCCCCGCAAGGCACATATGGAGGCAAGACGAAGCGCAGCATCAACAAGAAGATGCGGCGGCTGCAGAGCCTCCTCCGGCCTTATGCATGGGTTTGCGGCAGTGAGACTGTGGTCGTATCTGCTCCATTCGTGTGTACAGTAGAGGTTCGCATGGTAGTTTTGATAAGAACTTAAATCCCAGGATTGGGGCAAAACCACGAAGCCTAGTGGCCCTAGATCGCTTCACTGCATCCGAGCCTTTTACAGCGCAGTCTGCCGTGCTCTGTGTAGCTTCTAAGACTCCATAACAACGTTGTGAGGAGCCAGTCCAAGCCCCACAACCCTCAAATGTCAAAGCTCCGCACTTGCCGGGTCCCAATTTTAAGGAAGCTGTACCCCGAGTATTCGGCGCTGCTGGAAGCGCTCCACCCGCAGTTTTCCCAGCAGGAGCGCTGGGACCAAGTGAAGAGGCACGATGGCCTGGCTTTCCCGAAAGCGCCCGATACTATACCTCTTAACCTTTCGAACACGGTTTTAAAGTCGCAGAGGGAGCCTTTAGATGGGCTTTCAAGTTTAGATATTGCTTATCACCGGCGGATGCCTCCAGGCCTATTAGCGATGGTCTTCGCATACTGGAGGTCCTGCGGCAACCCCGAAACCCGAAACCCTGACGCGCTGGATCCTGACCCAAACGACCTCTGAAACTGAGCCCGTTAATGATGTCTTATATACCTTGATTGTAACACTGCAGCCCTAAATCCTCCAACGAATCGAGCAACAAAGAATCGCAAAGAAGGCTCTTCCCATCGCCGACGCCGTCCCTTGGCGATTAAGTCAGAGACCCTTCCGGATGGCAGACGGGCTTTCTATTGAAGAAGGTGTTCCTTCTCGCAAGCATCCGGGAGTCTAGGATCCCTGATGTTGTAGGAACCTGATTCAGAAACCTGAGGCCTTTATTAGGGTTCCTTTTTTGAATCCTACTATTTGTGGGAGTTATAGGGCCAGGGTTTCTTAATCCGGTTCCTACATCAGCCGCCCTAGGCTTTGCAGGGACTATAGCTCGGAGTGTGGAGCCAAAAGCCGAAACTCCCAGGATCTTCGACATCCTCACGCGCCTCTCGGAAGAGGAGGTCCGGAACAAGCAGGAGGCGCTGGCCCAGGCCGGCCACTGACTTCGAAGTGCCTTTGGGGATTATAAGCCCAACAATCGGCTAAGACCAAATTAAGCCTTATATTCGGGGTTTTACCCCAGAATAAGGTTGTGGTTTTACAGGTAGGTCCAGGTAGGTGATCTTTAGCCTTCTTGGGGTAGCATCACGCTTTCCAACCGCAAGAGGTCAACCGTTGGAGCCGACAGAAAGCTGGCATTGGAGGAGTAGGTTAGAGGAGGTTAAGGTTTTGGGCTTGTGGCTCCAACCCTCTTTTTTCAGTGAGGGCCATGATGATATGTTGTTGTTTGTGATGATGAGACTACGCCGACTGCGCCTACGCCCTTTGCTTGTGCCGTACTACTGTCATCGATCTCGTTGTCCTCTCCTAGGATGAGCTCGCTTGAATGTTTGTGTGCTGGTCTCTTTTGCTATTGCCGAAAGTGTTTGAAATCGCCGTACCCGCAAACGATGACATTACGTCCGCTGCAGCCGAAACCACCGCGATAAAGTAGTTGCGGGTCTGCGCCGGCATGATTCGCCATCCTGCGCGGCAACCCATGTCAAAGATTACACTATCTGCTCCTAGTTGCAGTCGTTGCCATCACGACGACGGTTACCACCATCGTGCCAAGTACACCCAACGACGTAACGACGAAGACGACGACGCTGCTAATAACTGTCGACACTGCTACGTCGCTGCCGTCATGCTGACCACACTCGGGTCCGTACGTGAGTGTGCGTCCGACATCTTGCCAAGCAAGGAGCCTCCCGAAATCACCATGCACCGTGCAGCCTGCGATGTTTAAACACCCTTTCTCTGCCGAGTTGGCGCATCGGCTGGTGATTGGTTTGGACGATTCGAGCGAGGATTCTGTACGCATCCTGCTCGACAAGATTGCTCCTTGCCCTGAAAGTCGAAAGCTCGCAGTAGCTTCAAAATTAATTCCACGCTAAATAGGAATATGGTGGCGTCAAACAACACGATGCTATTGGATATACACCGCATCCAACCCCCTGCAAAGTCCGCCCGAAACCCTACGTCAGCCCCAGTTCTTGACCCCCTAAGCCCCCCTAAGCCTCTGCCCTAAGCTTTGAATCATGGCCCGTATACTTACTAACAGGCCCGAAGCCTTCGAAGCCCCCGGCCCCAAACCCTAAGCCCAACGCCAAAGGTGTCCAACGATGCAGCTGCAAATGAGCTGGCGGCCAACAGCCCGATCTGAGGCCGACTTCAATATGACAAAAGGTAGACTTTTTAGGGTTGAGTGCCGGGGTTTCAGGGTTTTGTGTTTGCATTAAGTTTTTTGTTTGAACGACGGTCTCATGAAGGTAAACGCTATTCTTGAATGTTGTGGTTTGTAAAGATGGTGGTGGGGATCCTATTGATAGGTGGTAATAGCTCTTAGGGATACTATCAAAAGTAATAATGGACTTACCCGCCCATGTTCAACAGTTTTGAATGTCAGAGTGTGGGGTTTTGATCGATGCAAACGAAGCAGGACTGAGATTACAGCTACTTTGCATCGTTTCCGGAGCAAGAATCCAACACGTATGTCTTTATCTGTTTGCAGGGTGGGCACCTAAAGGCCTAAGGCTTCTGCCGAATCTTCTCCGTCACCGCCTTGCTGTCTCGTCTTCAGTTTCGTCTTGCATGAGTTTTAACGAAGCATGGCTTCCCTGACGATGACTTCGTAGCAGGATCGGTAGCCTTGAACTTGTTTGGGCTACTACTGTAATCCCTTCTTAGTCCAAACAATGAGTTTTGAGAGGATACTGCACGCGTACTGTTGGTGATTGTACAGGTTTCTCGTGCTGATGCCGCTGCAAACCTCCGGAAGCTTTCTAGAGCCCTGGTATACGATCCCTTTTTGAACCGGCATAAGACTCTCAGAGGAATCCCTTGAAGAGTTTCTGTCAGAACCGCTCACAGAATCGTTGTTGCAGAGCCGCCATTAAGCGAAGCAATGGTGTTCAGTTTTGAAGCCCTCATACAACACCCCTGAAGGTCAGACACAAAATACCTTATAAGTTATGAGGGTTTAGGCTTTACGGGGCATGGCATATCAAGGGCATTGGGTTTAAGATAATGACTGCTGGAAGCCGAAGAAACCAGTAAACACGGTCAAGTTTCAGAGAATGTCCATCTTAGCAGTTCAACAACCGCCATACATCATCGCCTAGTACATGCCACTTGCAGGAGAAGCTCAAGAGCCAGACTAGCAAGAACTGCCAATCTTTGCTAGCAGCTTAGGTCTGCGTGTTGAGGAGCATTCAACATCCATTCTTCCAACCTGCACAGCCACACTCCCATAAGTGTGAAAGCCTCTGCAAGGGCTTCTGGGATTTAGAAATGTTGCAGACACAAACTTTCGTGGGATCTGCAACTAAGCCGTTAATGCGTGGGGCAGGTTCAGTATAGTAGATGTATCTAGAGACTATAAGACGTAGAGTTATTGAATACTCCGCCCCCAGTTTCGGCTTTTGACCTCCGCTCCCTTATCTGCATCCCCGGGTTTGGTAGTAGAGAGTCTGAAGCGTTGTGAACTATATCAATATTATCAAGATACTTCTTTCCATAATCCTTTCGATAGTGTTCGCAAGAGACACCCCCGAAGCCAAGGTAAGGCCCGGATATTTGTGACAAGGCGTCCGGTATAGTCAACCAAATACCTAGGTATGTGTTATATCGAACCGGAAATCCTCACCATGTGAAGGTACTTGGGCCTCATGGGTTTGCCTGCTTCAAGGCGGTGAATATCGTTTTCCTACACCACCCTGCAGTCGTCGAAAAAGTGCGCCAGTAGGGTGATCCAAAATATGCCTCGGATCCGTTTGTCTTTGATTTCGGAGTCGTAGCCGTAAGCAGTGGTCGGAAGGATTGCCGTAGTCAGGAACACACCAACAAACAACAATAACACCAAGAGCCACGGGCCACGGTGGTGTTACCGGCTATGACTCTATGGGTCCCGCCATGTCTAGTACTGGGCGCATTCATCACCTCGTCGGTCTGCATTCATGTTGTCGTGACGTAATCATTACTATTCTCACCGGAGTGTCGTGATCATCACGGTCATCAACACCGGAGGGGTAGAGTGCTTCTTGGGTTTGATGCCTTCTTTCTCGCTGCACTATCTCCTCCTTTCGCCTACGGCGTAAGTGTCATGTGCAGTTTCATGTGTGCTGAGAGTATACTTGTCTGTTTGCCGTTCGCCGAATAGAAGCACTGCTTGCACAGGTGGGATATGTTCTCGCGATAGGCTTCTTAGGAGGCATGGGGCTGCTGCATGCTGCCGGCTGGCTCGTGGCTTCTTGAAAGTATTCGTCACCTGACTTAGCGAATGGCGTGACTTCAACTGTTGGCCTTCCATTTTCGAGCCTATGCAGAGAAGCTTGAGGTTTTGTGTGGCTTCAGGGCTGTCAGACAGGACATGGAAGATAAGGTTTCCCTTGAACCCGAAGCCCTAGACCTTTGAGGGTGCAGGGATTGAGCAAGCCATGCTCTCCTTGGAGAAGTTCGTTGGCCCCGGCATTCTGGATGATCAATCCAGGCCTCTTGGGCTCAATGCTGCCAGCATCTGCTAGACCTCAGGGTCTCAGGGGTTACAATCATGCGCTGCCCGTTCAAAGCTGAAATACCTGACTAAGTCAGGGAGTTTGGGTTGGGTCTGATTATCGGGTCCCAGAGCGTATGAGGTACTGTATCATTTGCTAGGGTTTACGTTTAGGGTTTGACGGTTTAACGGTTTGCGTCTTAGTGGTACGAGGCTGTTTGGACCGTGGCCTTCAGATGCAGGCTTAATTACAATCTGCGACACAGTCTTCACAGTTCAGGGCTTTCCGGGTTTGCTGCCGGCCTCGTTTTGCACATGATTCGGGGCACTGTGTCTTTGGCTGAGCCCTGCCATGTGTGCGCTTCTTTGGGCAACTGCTCGGTGCTTTTCGATATGTAGAGCCCGTCAATACGGCACCAAGGATGCTCGGTCACCCGAAGACGAGGCTGTTTAGGGTTCAGGTTTTCCGGGGTGGTCGGTTTCTGCTTAAACTCCGTCAACATACTTCGAGTGCCGGAACTCGCCATACGGCTGTATTTTAACACATCCATATCAGTTGACTTGCAGAGAGCCAGTGTTGTTGAGGCAACGCAGCTGGCCGACGACGACGAGAGACCTGAATGGCCTCTCCGCTTCCCAGCTGCAAGACCTTCACCTTTAGAGTGAGTCTTCCCAATGGGCTACGACGCCGCTTCGTGCTGGAGCAAGTGCCGGGACTTTTTAAATCTCTTTGCAAGTGACACCGTTGTCCAATTGGCATTTACCGCAGTACATTATAGTACAGCCTTGATAACGCAGTGAGCTGTCAAGTGGTTTCGCATGACAGACTGACACTTGCATGTGAGATGACGCGTTTAGGGATTAGGTTCCAGAGAACCGGAGAGTGGTCATTTGTCAGCGCAGGCTGTCCTGGAACTTTCCACGCAACAATGCCTTCCACTCGCAGCCTCTACTTACTTTAGTTTCCAGAGGTCCTCAACTCAAAAAACGGTAGCAAGTAGCCTTGGTAATGCTCAGGATCTCAGAATTTCTGCAAAAGATATCTTCGATCGGGTGCTTGACTTAATTCTTGAAGGTACCCTGCACCAACTATGCCATCGTCGGGAGCTCAAGCTTCTCTTCGTCGGCGCTTCAGATTTTGAGTCCTTGGCGGTTCGCAACCGAACACGGTTTCGGGTTCTTTTGGCGATGCTGCATGAGTGGGGATATATGTTATATGCATACGGTTTCGGGTTGGAAACAGCGCGCATGAACCGCTCCTCTGAACCTCGAAGTCCGGGCCATCAGCCTGCTGAGTGGGGGTATGACCACGGGCGTGGACCCTATATGACTGAGGGCGGTGCGAAAGTTCCTAAAACTGACAACCTGCATCACTTATTGCAAGAATGCCGACAGGCCCACTTGCTAGAGTGGTCGTGGGGAAGGCTTGCAAGCCATTTTGGAAGGATATCCTAGACCTAGACGGGGGGGTATATGAGATATCCCTACTGTATCCTATGTGCATTTTGGTTGCCAAGAGCAGAGCTCTGGGCAAGGCCTCCATGGCTTCCTTGGCCGTCTCCTCCCGTCTTGCGGGCGGTTGCTTGGCTGCCGACGGAGGTATCCAGTCGCGGTTCCGGTAGATTCCTTAAAGGTTTCCATAACGGCTTAGAGTGAAAGATGCAGGAATGCTATTTCCATAGAAGCATTTCACGGTGTACGATTTAATCCTTTAATTCGGGTTCATATGGCTTTTCGTGTCTGATTGTAGGGGCGTGTGCTGGCGGGGTGTCACAGGCTGTGTAGGGACTTATGGAAGGAACATATAAGAAGGATCCCCCAACTAGGTACATAGGTTCTTTAGGGTCCAGGTCGTTCCCCAAAGCCCTAGACCGAGCGGGAGCAAGCTACATGCAAACGCCAAGGCCCAGGCCCTGATCCACCAGAGGAGCCAAAGGCGGGGTCAGGTGTCTGTGTCGGCTCACGGCTATCATAATTCATTCATAGTAGAAGTTCGGCTCACGGCTATCATAATTCATTAGTAGAAGTCAGGTTCATCATTAGTAAACGGTTCCTGCAAGGGTTCGGTACGGGTTTCACTCGTTGGGGGTTTGGCGGGTTTCCGGTGTAAAGCTATTTCCGTACTGTATGCTCTGTGCCAACAAGACCGAGGGAATGAACTTGTATGCGCAAAGCTTCCTCGGCCGAAACCCTAAAGCCCTGAGCCGCGAGCATACCCCAGGTTCAATCGATGTGCCTGAGCCCGAGCCCCTCCCACTGCATGGAGCCGACACCCCAAGATTCTGAAAGATGCGACATCGCCGAAGCGCCAGATCCCTCAGCTAGCATAGGCCTGATAAATCACTTGACATAAGCACTCCCACAAAATCCGTATAATCAAGTCACTACGACGTCATGTACCTCAAAAACCCCATATCCGTCTTATTTGAGGGCTTTTCTTCCCTTTGGTTAGTAGGGGATGGAAGAACGTAGTAATACTAGTTAGTGTACCCCATTCCTCCATTCCCAAACCTAACCCAAGGTAAGTTTGTTGTCAGATGGGGTTCCTTATTATAATTATAGTATAATGGGCCCCAAAACCCTGATCCCTTTTTTTTATGAGGCTCCTTAAACCCTAAATCCTAAACCCTGAGCCCTAAACCATAACCCCTAAAACATAAACCCTAAACCGT